TTTAAAATTTAAAAGGACAATAAACAAATGTAAATCTTAATATTTTAAGGGTTTAAAAGTTTAAACTCAACTGGCGAAATTTAACATACTGTGGTAACCTGACGTGCAGCCGTGTGTACAATCTACTGGAATAAGTGTATTACTGTCAGTTTTATATTTTTCACGGTATCAAATAAATTCTACAAATTTTCTGATAACACCTCATCTTTAATATCTGTTTTGAAAGCATTAAACAACTCACAAATGTGGCATCCATTTCAACCTGCTTAATTATTGCGAAAACTAAATCACAAGGCCGGAATTATTATAAATATTAATTTGATTTCGAATTTCTACATTTCAAAATTGGCTGTTTCTAATTTAAAAACTCAATTTGGTGGCCCGTTGATGTTGCACAATATTCAATTTAATATATAGAAATGGCAAGTAGGTATAGAAAGTACACCGACACCTCGTAATAAATTACCAATATATTCGAATTGCAACCGTTCGGTACCTATCTACGTAATAATATTACGTAAAAAGCTCAAAGAACATACCAGAATTAATCAACATCATAATATTTCATCAGAAACTGTAAACTTACTCCAGCAAACTAAATCCCCGTTATGCTGAGGACTGAGATATAACCTATTACAATAATATAGTCCATCTCGCTTATTAATCACTTGAAGATTCTTATTCACCTTCATTATCATCTACAATCAGGAAATATTCCAAATAATTCATGTACTTACATTTTAAACTTTAGTCAAATTAAACGGCTTTAATCTTATTTCTTATTTTATCATATATTTCATTAGATAACACTAAGATTTGATCACGGATTCAACAAAGGTTCTTTGGAAGATCCAAAATGTTTTAAGTATGTGCAGAAATATCCTACTAATATTATGAAGGCGAATGTATGTAGGTTTGTTACTTCTTCACGCAAAAATGGCAGAGCGGATTTTGATCAAATTTGGCATATAGGCAGTTCTAAGTCTGGATTAACATATATACTAAGACGTTCCCTAGGTTTAGAAGTACCTCCAAGGGCACCTATTTTTGTGAACGCTGCCTAAACGTTAAGAGATACTTTTAAAGAAAAGCGAGAGAGCTTTAAATTATCTATAAAAAGTCCGCAATTACATAATATGCTAAGATTTTGCCACAAAAATAAACAAAACTTCGTGTAAGTGTATTAAAATGGTTTTCCGTCTTTCGACGTTTATTTTGGCATGTGGGTGATATTAAATCCTTATCGAAATGAATATGCTTATTGTTAAAGAAATTTAATCAAAATAAAATTGTCTTTTACACAAAATTAATTGGATGAATAGTTTAGATTTCTCTACAATGTTATTGAAAAAAGAAAATAACATATATTGCCGATTTTCTAAAAACTATTTTGTGTTCATGTATCTATTGCGATTTAACAACGTATTTTAATGTATTAGGTAACAAATAAATTTCTATTTTTTTTTAAAGTCGGTTCTATTTTTTAAAAAGTTTTTATGTCGTGCTTTTTAGTGATATTGATATTTTTTTATATAATAGGTAACACTAAAAATTCTTCTCTGAAAACCGCGTCAAAATTCGTTCAGCCAAACGTGAGACAATCGAGCACAAACATACATACATACAGGTCAAACTGAAAAACTCCTTTTTTGAAGTCGGTTAAAAAGCAAAAGTAACTAGGTCTGAAACCGTTTAGATGAAATTTTGTATTAAAATTGTGAGACAATAAATAATATATAGAATAGATATCATACTTGAATCCTACGAAGGAATGAAAAGACCAAAAATTCAAAAATAAATGTAAATTTGATAAAAGCTTGGCGCAAAAACGACTTTAAAAATCAAATAATCATTTTTCTACATATAAATTCAATAAACTCAACTTGGATTCAGACGCATATATGATGGCTAACTATTTACAAGTCTGACTTCGAATGAAGTTTGAATGTGCTGATATTAGAATTATTTTACGTCTGTTTGTGTTTAAAAATAAACATTTTCATTTTACAATTCCTTTGTGGCAACCACATCTCCCAGATATTTTATGTAGTTCTCCCATAGTTTTATTTAAAAACAAAATTACTGAATAAATTTCGACAGTTTTAATCGTGATTATTTCAAGAATACACTATTTCAAACAAAAATCTGCAGCAGGACACAAGAAAAAAATTAAATTGAAAACCTATTATTTTATTCTCTTTATAATATTATTCTAAACAATTATCAGGTTCATAGCAAATATCACAAAATGTTAAAAGACAATCGTACATTTCCATGAAAATATTGAAACTTATGTATATTATATACTTATTTCGTCTTAAAGAATTCCGTTGGGATTGCAAAAATTGAACATTAAATATGCTTAACTATAAAACCTAGCGATATTTTCTGTACAGGATGTCGCATATGGCTTTCGCGGCCTGTTGCATGCCTAGTTCGAGACAGGCGACCTTAGATGTGGGTGAAGGCCGACAGCGACTTAAAAGCAAAACTCTACTGTCTTATCATAACATACAGAAAAAAATATGCCTTTTTTAAATAAGCATTTGTGTGTTATGTAATTATACAAGATGGTATTTTATAACGTATTTCTGTATTTTTAGATTTAGCCAACTTTGCACTTACCAACTGCAATCGTTAAAACTTGTCACATATACAACCGTTTTCTATAGCGTTTTGAAACACATTATTATTCGTTAATAACCCAAAGAAATACTTGACTAACCCCGTCGGGGACCCGGGGCGGCATCAGGCTTGGACGTACAACTTTTTTTTAACAACCGGGGGCAGAAACTTGATATTTCACACCGACATTGAAGTTTACACCCCCCTGCAAAGACGCCTGCTAAAACTGAACATAAAGAGTACAACCCCAATTTATGGTTTGGTTAAGGAAACTTGCAGCCATTTAGAGGCTACCAGGTCAAGAGGCCCGGAACTGATCACACCCAGAACTCATGCGGTACACGCAAAAAATAATCTGAATAAATGTGCGAAAAGTATGAATTATAAAACTGAAATAAATCATTGCTTTAACATTGAATACGATCAAATAAGATAGTCAAAAGAAACGCAAAATTTTACCATTGCAAACACAACAAACCAGTTGCAGCAACAGTTGATCTGCAAGGATGTCTAGTTATCTGTTGTTTAATGTCGCCAATTTTGTTATCCGCTAATCTGTTAACTTCCTACTTTCGAGATCGCGTCTAACACCCGGCCTTTAAAATACCGGTCAAGCGCACCGCACAAAGTTCAAATGCACTGGTTAATCTCGAGGCATTCAGATCAAGGCGGTTAAAATCTGATACGACGAGTGATTTGACATCGATAAAATAATAACTATAATACTTGACGAGGTGGAAGGTGTATTCCACGTCGCTTTAATACGTTTAAAATTCGTGCTCTCGGGTTCACTTTTAGATGGTTGTTTACTCTGTCCTCTTCAAGCATTTAATCCTATGTCTTCAGTGTAAAAATAACCGAAATTGTGTTGTGTTAGAACACGATATGGCGCATTGCACTTGATCGTTTCCCGAATTCGAATGCTTATGAAGTTGGAAGTAATTAAATAAATGTTTTACATGTGCTACAAAAAACAAATACCGATTTTATTGATTAAAAATGAGTTTTGAAAATCAACAAGTAAGTCACCGTCTACTCTAAACACGTTATTTGAAATGTTTGATATTAATCAGTTTCCAAAATTTGATTTCAGTTATATTAATTAGATTTCATCATTTGAATTATTTATTGTTAACTTATATTAATTAAATTTCAATTATTTATTGTTAACTGCACAGGAAAGAACATATCGTCTCTGGCCTATTTTGAAGTCATCAATTCTCAAGTCGATCAAGAGTTGGCAGAAATTTGACATTAGATCAACACAGTATCGCCATTTTATAACATTTATTTTTTTGTTTCTTTGTCATTACTTCTTGGTTGTTAATGAACGTCGACTTTGGATAATCACGTCACTGCCTATTGACTCTTGTATTGACCACGTATCGATATATAACACTACTTTACTTTACGTCGATGCGCATCTTAACAAGTAAATAGATCGGGGAAAAGTTTATTAGCATTTTATATGAACATTCAAATTCATTTATTAATAAAGCTTTTTTACATTTTGTTCGATAACTTTTTGCCATTTTGTTGGTAGAGACATGATCCCATTGCTGATTTGAATTCAGTTATCTTCTTTAAATTTCAAACTTTTTAATGATACAGAACCAACCAGATACAAATGGTGTAGCCAGAAAAACATTATTTACAAGTTTATGCATACTGTATGCCAAAAGACTTTTTCCCCAACCTAATATTTGACTCACTCCCCAATGGTTTTTGAATGAATATACAACGGTCACCGATTTAGCTGAAATTGACATATACATAAAATTTGGAAGCGCAATGGTTAGCGCGTTCGGTCTGTGATACCGTTGTTTAGCGACTTTCGTAAAGGTCGATCATAAGATGGGTGACTAAAAAATTATTATCTCGGACTTCCCCATGCTTCAGAAGGTATGGTAAGCCGGTGGTCCCGGCTGCAGGTGCAGTCGTTTACACCTATCAATCCGCACTGGTCCCTCGTCGTGGAAATGAGTCATCGATTTAAAGATATTAATAAGTTATTTGAGTTTCTAAATTCGAATAAGCGCTTTATCGTTCAAATAATTAGTATGGCATTCGTTAACTCGATTGATAAATAAAACTAAAGTATTAATATAATATTATACAATCCTAATTATCATAATGTAACTTTGTTATGATGCGTACATATATTGCGAGGTCCTACGTACGTTTGCACTTTCTAAACAAAAGGTCGGGCTCTTGTTATAGCGTTACTGAACGTTACGTTTTATTTATTTACACTTTATTGCTTATAACGCAAACGGCGGACTTAATGCCAATGGCATTCTCTACTAGTCAACCCGAATGGAGGTTGGCGATAATTTCTAGGCTTTTATGATATTTATGTAATATTTCCTGGACAGATACCAATGGCTACCCGGGTGGTGGGTATCCGGAGAAAGAGCAAGTGAAAGGTGGCAGCGGCAGCAAGTGGCGGCGGGTGGTGGCGCGGAGGGCGAGGGCGTGCTGCTCCACCAAGATGCTGCTCCGCCGGGTGCCCATCCTCGCGTGGCTGCCACAGTACTCGCTCAGAAGCGGCCTGGCTGACATCATTGCAGGTACAAAATCTTTACTTTGTAGAGAGAGGTAACAAAAAAGAAATTCTATTTAGTCTGTCACTCAGATAATATAAAAATATTAGATACGCTTCAATTTGACATTAAACGGCTCAAATTATAGAAGAGGATATAACTTAAATAAAGTCTAAGAGTGGGGACTCGCTACGCAATAACTATCTAGAAAATGTACAGAGTTGTGACGTCATGCGACGCTGTAATTTATTGATGATGCAAAAAATAAAAAACAATACGTGTTTCATATTATTCAATAACCTGACGCCGGCCGGACAAACAAAAAACATCATCATCCCTTATGGAAATAAATAAATAATTTTAGAAATAACTTGAAGTTTCTCGTTTTAAATTTTGATTTGAACATTACTTCTTTACACGAAACCAGTTGAATGTTAGCGATTTTTGATATTCGCCCCTTTTAAAGTTATCCGCAAATTCCGCCGACAACGAATAGCATGGTAATTTGCATAAGTTGCTTAGAAAGTTAATTCAACATTAAACAAATAACTTTCGCAAAATATATTTTAAGAGTTCTTTGAGTGTTTTCAAAAGTGATTTCCAATTTCAGTACACTTATTGTGTGCAGCTCGTTACGCTCGGCTACAATTTAATCTGCATATTTGCACATGCGGCATGACGCGTGCGATTTCATTATTACAACGGAAAATACCTCTTGTTCCACATAAGAATAGTAATAACATGATAAAATAATATTATTGGCTTGTAAGTAAAGTGCGCGTAGCGGGTACCTAAGTGTCGTCCCCGCTAGAGACTAGAGGGTGGCTCTTCTGAGTACTCAAAACTTCGGACACAGGACTCCCGAATGTCTTGTCTCTCATTGACGATCGTATTTTTTGAGGTTTATGAGAAAATGTGCGCTCTTGCTCCACATAACTGATGATAAAAAATTGAAACTCTTAACATTAACAAAATTCAGCAATTCCGCAAGTTCATTAATTTTATATCAATTGGTTTAGTTCATTGATCTTTTATATAATTTTTATAACTCATGCTCTGATTTAAATTAATCGAAAAAACAAAGGACTTTGAACTGTGCGCCCTTGCGACAGGGCATAAAAACGGCTGCTTCTGCGCTGCTAGTGGGGCGTGAAATGGCCCATTTTGTGCGCGACATTGTTACCGAGCGCATTGTTGGGACACAACGCGTTGATATTGCCAATTACTTACCTGAAATGTTGCACAGAATTAAAAAAAAACATGTTCGGTCTATAAATGTAATAGACAAACATGCGCATTTATACAATACAACTGGGTATTAATTTTAAAATTTAATTCCTATCATCTCTCATAATGTAATAATGTATTTCCTTTTTATTCCATACTTGTAGAACTTAACTTAGGGACTTAACGCGTTTTTAGCTTTAAAACACTTGTGTAAAATAATTAAAGTAATATTTATTTATTTATTTAGTAATTTCTTGTAGGTTTACAGATTGTATCCACGGCGCCTACAAAATTAGATTACAGTTACAATGCTTGCTTGTCAAGATAAAATATTAAATAAAATCAATTAAATTATAATAAAAAAACAAATTCTGTAGGGGTACTCATCACTATGGACGTACCGTAGGGATAAATATTCGGACCATTGCTTTTCCTTATTTACATTATTATCTTCCTCACTTTATGAAGAATTTGTGTAAGGCAATATTATTTGTATATGAGAACTTTTTGAAATTTGAGATGGCCCTCATGGAATGATATGCCTCCGCTTTGTTCTGCGCTGAACGACGATAATTATGCATATTATAATTCATGTTCAACGTTGACAACTGACAACCATATACCACAAAAAAGTCAAAATAGCCAAAATATACTTTTTCTAAGTACTTTTTCTTAAAATATCTTTGTGCCTATTTATTTTGTCATTTATTCACTTTAAAATGTAAGTCCGTTTGATTTATTGTACATTGTTTATTACATAAAAGTAGATAATTTTCTAACAGCCTTATTAATTACGATTGGAAACAATAATTCTGTCATTATTACATCAGTCAAGGAAACTACCACAATAAAAGAGTGACTACAAGTGGGCGTCGTAAATAATATGCTAATTTTAGTTCAAGGGACAAAATAGTAATTTAATTTAATTCCATAAGGTCAGTTTATCATGAAATAAAATTAGTAGGAAAATAAAGATGTTTTATTTCTTCTGTAATTTTCTTTTATTATCTATATTCACGGCATCTACCGGTGCTACTCTTATCAAGCTATTTAACAAACGATTTTAATGAGATAGATTTGGACAGAGAATTATAAATTGCACCGCAACCGTTTTAATTGATTAAAATAATATTTTCTTTGCGAAAAAATACAAACTATCATCGTATACCTTGATCAATGTAAATGACGAAAACCCTGAAGTTTTCTTATTACAGCAAGAATGAGTCTTACGAATCAGCCAATTGTCTTATTGTCGAAATAATTATCTGCTAACTGGGAACTCATTTAATTGCATGTTTTCATTCAAGGGGTTCTAAAAGTTGCGCTCTCGGCTCGGTCTTCTTCTATCTCAAACACGGTTGAACGCACAAAAATAGTTTGAGCACAATTTGTCGCCTTAGCTATTTGGTGGTTATTTATTTGAGGGCTACAAATTAAATATACACTTGAATGCCCTCGTATATAGTTATTAACATTAATCAACATTGTTATTTGTTTTTTGTCATAATAACTGTTATAACATCACATATTTAAGTGTCTACCTGTCACGATTCAAGCATCACAGACGGACGGACAAACAGAGAGACACTTTGAATTGGATTATAATTGCGGCAAGTCAACCTTGATTATAGAACTTATGGTATAAACTAGATAACTGCTCGTATATAAACAGCAAATAGGCGTCAAAATGTCACAAGTAAAGGCCATCAGTAGAAGATAGATTATATTGGTAGAGTCTTAGAATGTCCCAAATTACGGAAGTCGAGCTTTTTTTGTCGATAGATAGGTTTTCACCAACTCTTCATTTGTAACTTCCGCGTGCTGAACCTACCTACTGATGTAGGAAGCGCGTCTTCTTTGTTACCTACAAATCTTTTTATGAGGTATGCATAACTTTTTCTAGTCAGATGTAGGTGTGTTGACCAATACTCTGTTCAACACATTTGAATTTGGTGAAACAAAAAAATCAGCAGTTCTATAAACAACACCAACAGATTTTGTACTCAGTACTTGTGCAAAAATCTACACCGTATAACTTTAGATCATTCTTTCACATAAAAAAACTATTGGTGCAAGTTTATTGAATCTGTGTGATACTGGAGCCAAGGAGAAGGAGAAGTGATAAAGAGAAAGAATAGGAATTTTAGATATAAGAATTTTAAGACAATTGTTATAATTAAAGGGAACAAAGAAGATTGTAACATTTTTTTTTTTCTATAATACGTAGGTATCAGTGGATTAATTAAATGTTTTTATCTCAAAAACTAAAGCTAATTGGCAAATATATTATTTTGTTATTATTTAGCACACCCAGTCTCATAAAAAGTGGACTGCAACCTACCACAGTGCGAAACGACTATTCTCCAGTTAATTGCCGTCTAAGTTAAAAATATGTGCACATTATTCGACCAAAATACATTTAAAAAAAATGAACTGCTACTTTAACTAATGCAATAAATACAAGTATTGTACCAACTTCCTGAATTACTGGAAAGTATAAAATTAAGAAATAGCTGTAATAACAATTCAATGGCTCCACAAGATTTCCTTTTAAAAAATCCTATTACTGTTGATATCAAATCAAATTAATTGTTTGGCATTGTATTTTTTTTTTATAATATACGTAGCAGTTGGAAACTATTGTATTGTACTACAAGTTGACAATGACGACCTTGCGTCTGGTCTAGACTTGAACGGGACCTCATTTATTTCTAATTTTGAAAGTATACTTACTATGTATCGGTTAGAAGTTTAATTTGGTTTAGTTTTTACGTTAAAAAGTACGTTTAAAAAGTAAAGGATGGTGTCTTTACTTAAGAAAAAATTTAATTGCAGGCATCACGGTGGGTCTGACTGTGATCCCGCAGGCGATAGCGTACGCGGGAGTGGCGGGCCTGCCGCCACAGTACGGCCTCTATTCCTCGTTCATGGCGTGCTTCGTGTACACTGTGTTTGGGTCCGTGAAGGACTCAGCGATCGGCCCGACCGCCATAGCCGCCATACTCACTAGGGAGAATCTACACGGACTGGGCCCAGAGTTCGCGGTATTACTGGCCTTCCTCTCCGGTTGCGTCGAACTCGTCATGGGCATATTGCAACTTGGTGAGTTAAACAACTTGTAAAATGTATGTGTTTAGTTTTTTCAGATAATAATACGTTTTAAAACTGTATGTTCACTAAATAGAAACATTGATTATTCGGAAGACCGACAAGGAAATAATTACATTATTTTGTAGAAATTAAGCTGTCAATGTAGAAATTAAGCTGATAAGAAATCTTAAGTAGTTAATAATGGAACTTACATTCTCGTTGCATTCCTTCACGTCTGTTGAGATTATTTCAATAACCTGACGTGTCATTCTAGGAAAGAACCGTTGTTTTATTGTTAGAATTTGTAGCCTATCGTAAAATATTAAGATAATGATGATACCATATATCCTGCAAAACAATTATTGCACTGCTGTGAGTTCCAATACTTCTCTCGAATTGACAACTCTCGCTCAATCGAAGAGAGTCTATTACACATTCCAAAAGTGTAAAAACATAAAAATAGAAAACTGAAGTCGGTTAAGCCTATTCAGAAGTTGTATTATTAATGAGAAAAATAGAAGATACAATAACTAGTACTAGTCGTTTCTAAACCATCGCTCGAGATATTTTAAAGCTAGTTAACAAATGATTCAGATTTAACACCTAATCTTAGCAGACGTTTACTTTACCTACCTAACAACTCTGGGAGAGTAATTATAAAATATTTCTCCCTCTAACTCCCTCTTTATACCTTTCTCTCAAATATTTCATGACAAAGAAAATTCAAAACAAATGTAATAGTTAGGCATGAGTATGAGGTCATGAGGTAAGTTGCTCATCATCACGCTGCAAACGATTTATTGTTTAACGAGTGAGTGGATATAAATTTTGTTAAATAACGCAATGAGACGTTTTTTCGTTATTCTCAGTGTAGCGTATTGAGCATTTTTTATGTGCCCTCTTAAGTAGGTGCTTCATGCAAATTTTAAAGATGATTGTAGGTATACCAATGAAGAACGAAACGTCTCCTATACAGATTACGAAGTTAACGATACTTTTCTATAGCAGCGAGCGATCAAAAACAATTACCACGAGCTTCTCCGTGCTCAGGAAGGCTTGTTAAACTGTTGAACCCAGCTGTATCTGCATTCGTTGGCGCCCAACAAACTGCCCGAGTATGGTTTGTAAGGAATTAATAGGAAGATCTGTGCCCGCGCAGTGGGGAGTTAATAGTCATACGATGATATTCTGTGATATGTACCATATTTATTGACATAGGTAACGTTGTGCTTGCTTCGTTTCCCAGGTTTCCTGATAGACTTCATCAGTGGTCCGGTATCTGTGGGGTTCACGTCAGCGGCCGCCATCATCATCGCCACTACCCAAGTGAAGGACATCCTGGGGCTCAGCTTCCCTGGTGGCAAGTTCCTACAGGCAGGTGCTTTCTAACATATTCACAACAATATAAGACAGAAGTTAGTTACGACCAATCCAAAACTAGCTACAATTATTATACTTTCAAAGTTTTTCCGAGAAATCCGTCACTATATATTATATATTAAATCGCTCTCCATATCTCTCACTCCCTACGCCAGTTCAGATTTTAACTTTTCCTGAACCACGCAACGGATTTCGATACGATTACACAGTTGAATAAGAAATGTCTTGAAGAAAATTTATCACCTGGTCTTGATACAGAGTATTCTGTACCTATATGGTTATTTAATATAGTTTACTCAAGGTTCATTAAAAATAATGTGGTAATGTGTTCTAACAATCGGCAAAACTGCAACGTCAATAATTATATAACTAATGCCCCCTATTAAAAAATCTACCATACGTTACCATACCTATAAAATTTATAAAAAAATTACTTCGGTTATAAGGACAACGTTGAAAAATAATAAATAAAAAATTGTTTATTAGGCTTTGAGCACGTGATATAGCAAATTAAAATTTTCGGTTGGCTTAAATAATTCTCAATCACAAAAAATCACACGATCTAGATCTACGTCTCATAAATCGTTGCGAACCGGTCGCTAATTATTATTTTTTATATCGTTCCAATTATGTCAGAGGACTTTTTGTGGACATAATTTAAATGGACCTCACCTGTTCTTGTAAAAACCTGTACCTACACTTTCTAGCGGCCTTCGTCGTCGTTATCTGCTCTGATTGAGATTTTTTCTGACTGAGCTGGGTGACATCAGTTCACGGAAAGATTCCACTCTGCGGATCTAGTACTTTTCATTACAATAAATTTTGTTTTATATTATATACATACCTATTACTTAAGCTATCCATGTTTCATAATATATTTTCCCCTACTCCCGCCGCAGTCACGGTCAAGATTTTAAGATAAATATTTTAAAAAATTGGACCGGTGGTTAATGGATAACCTCACTCTGGTTTTCTCAGACTACAGATATAAAACGCATATCATTAAAATAATTATACATATATAAATAGTGTAATGGTGCGTTATAATCCTGGGATTTATTCACAATCTTATGTTTTTGTGTAACTTTGATGTAATTCTAGATGTGGTTTGTACATTGTCAGGTGTGGACGGGTCTGTATGAGCACATCGGCGAGACTCGACTCTGGGACGCCGTGCTCGGAGTGTCCTGCATCGTGGTGCTGCTCCTGCTCAGGGTGAGACACATGCACAGTGTGCTGCTACCAAGTGTTATTGTTATAGTGCGTGTTCGGTCCCAGAGCATCGCCAGTCTTACAACCGGTGTCCCTTATTGAATGTACGCATCGGGAACACCTTTGCCGCAGCCTGGCATTAAACAGGATCATGATGATAATCTACCTGCATTAGTAAACAAAAAAGTGTAGTATATTGTAAAATATTCCGTTCTTAAAACAAAGCGACATATTAAAACAAAGAAGTTGTACACTACAGATTATTAGCTATGTTATTGCAGTGAGTGTACACTGATGAAATATTTACAAACAAAACTGTAGTTTCTACACTAAAGTAAATAATGGCTCATAGGTAACATGTGTCTGTGTAAGCATAGTCAGTGTGGCGTGTTCAAAAAAATCTGCTTTGTTATGATTCTATACCGATTGTTTCTACAAAGAAAATATTTAAAGATATTACGTACCTATACAAATTCGTTTATACTTATTAGTTTATTTTTTTGAATAAAATCATTATCAATGAAAGCGGCAGAAGCTCGAATTGAAAAAAGTTAAGTATTTAGATATGTTTTAAATATTTTTTTTGCATGAATGTATTTTTGAATACATAATAATAATGTATGAATACATTTTTATAACAATAGGTAGGTAGTTTGTGGGTATGTGTACTTTTTGCGAGTCTACCTATTTTAAAATATAATTATTCTGTATTATAAAAAAATCATTTCATTAATTTGTGCTTTTAATTTTTAATCAAATGTGACCTTCGTTATAAAAATAACAGGTAACGGAATTGTTAAGTATCGCTACATTTTAGGGTTCAGTAGACTACAATCTGTCACTCAGATAATATACACCGCGACTCAACGACTCGAAAACTCAAATAATCTACTTTTGATTTCCATTAGAATATTCAATATAGAATTTCTAAGAGAATTAGAATATCCAAAAGTTTTTGTCGAGGAAGAGAAAGACAAAATATTAATATTAAAATTAATTAAATAACAGTTTTTACAAATACAAAATATAGAAATATTATACAACATTACTTACATTGCTCGGATTCCAAAATAAGTAGCTGATGCCCCGGTATTACGGATTATTTGAGACAAGTGGGCACTCATAAACAATAATGAAAGTAAAAGAAAAACGTGTTTTTATACTATTTGATACTATTTTCAAAAACTGAAAAAAAAATGCAAATCGTACTCTCTGACTTTGCTTACTATGAACTGTATAAGGACCTACAGCACAATGTAGGTACCTACTACATTAAATTTATAAATCACAAGTAACACGTAGGTTATATATGTATTTATTTATGAACTGTGTAATTTTATTTTAACATTACGTAATGCCATTCTCTTTGCAGTTAAAGTTTTTTCCAATAACCAACCACAACACAAAAAAGGATCAAATCCGTATTATGAAATACATAGTTGTAATTACAATAGGTTTTGTGGTAGTTGGAACCTACTACGCAAATTACTTTCACGATTTTTTGCGGGAATTATAACGAGAACGTACCCGGATGAAATTTTTGTACTAAATTATTGGTTATTTTGAAAGATCACAGAGAAAAAGATGTTACAGAAGTTTAGATATCATACCAACAACTCGTAATACTGTATCACTTTCAGAAAGTGAAGGATATAAAGGTGGGTTGGGGGGAGGGCGAGCGTGGCCGTCGCGTGCGCAGCTGCGTGTCGCAGGGGCTGTGGTTCCTCTCCACCACTAGGAACATACTAGTGGTGCTCGTGTGCGCTGCCCTCGCTTACTACTTCGATACTCAACAAAAAGCACCGTTCGTACTCACCGGTCAGTATACTAAACTATCCAATACGAAACAATAGTTTGATGAACTGATTTGGATACAACTAGATGATTGAAGGATAACGGGTGATTTGGTATATACCCGAGCAGCCCCCTTACTCTCGAACGCAATCGCAACTGATCGACATTGCAATTGCGATGCTCCGCACTCTTGATTGGTTCACTAGCATTAGCAGGCGCTAGTGTACAGTCACGATTGCGTTTGAGAGGAAGGGAGCTAGAAAGTATTTGACATCCCCCTTTTTTATCTGGGGTTATTGGGATGGGTTTGGGTTATTATATTAGAATGCCATCAAAAAGCATGTATGAGAGAAGTTTGAACGTCTAGGAGACGGAAAAAATGAGAAAAGAGACTAGATGTGGGGACATCTAGCTCGGTTCTCTCTTCTTCTCCCGCAAGTGATTTATTTATCTAGCGTGCTTCTATTGTTGATTCGATGTATCCTTTTCTAGCATATATAGTTTTCTATCCGTTTTATAAGAAATTTTTAAATAAATTCTCATTATGAAATTTACATACACGATCTCAGAGTTTCCTTCTGCGAAACCTAGTGTAAAAGATCTTAAATCAATATAATTGAGAAATATTTAAGCTTTTGAACTGGATCGTTTCATATGTAGGTAACGTGAAGGCTGGTCTGCCGCAGCTGTCCCCGCCACCGTTCTCCGCGACCGTCGGCAACCACACGTACACGTTCGTCGAGATGGCGTCTACTCTCGGCTCCGCCATCTTTGTGGTGCCGCTGCTCTCTATATTAGAGAACATTGCGCTCGCTAAAGTATTCTGTGAGTGGGACTCTTATTGTATATAACATTATTATATTGTTCAGGTGTCTTTGGAAGACAATAAAAAAGGTTACAAATATAAAATCTAACAAGACATCCAACAGCGAGTTGCTTGATATAAAAGATACTACCTACGAATGTATCTAACATGTCAATGATTACTTTGTGAGTAGCTGCAATAAGTTAGCTGAATATAGCAAGAAGTTTTATTTGTACAATACTCCTACGCTACTCCTAATGTTACATGGACTCGCGTTGCTGGCATCTCAAATCTTATCCCATCCTCTCCTACTGATCGCAAGTCCCACTTCATATTGGAAACAATTAACTAATGCGGACTACTGCAATACAATCACGTCATTAATAAGAATAATCGGCAACTAGATCCGGTTTTGAGTACGACTGACGCAATCAGTGTGGATGAATGTGATCCATTGAGTCGTTTGGATGCCCATCATCCTGCACTGTTGGTATCATATAGCTTTTCGACTGATATTGGCAAAGCCGTCACCAATAAACCATTTAAACGTATCAATTTCAGAAAGTGTAACGTGGCGCGAGTAAGACATGCCTTTACCGAAATATCATGGTCTGAATTGCTATCTCTAGATAACGTAAATGATAACTTGGCACTTTTCTATGAAACTTTTAACCGAATTCTTGCAGAATTTACTCCATATACCGCTAAAAATGGTGACAATTACCCAATTTGGTTTAATACAGCAATTAAAAAATGTTTATCAGAAAAACAAAAATATCATAAGCTGTACAAAAAATACTGGAACCCCCGTGATTACGATGTGTTTTCGGTACTTCGAGCTAGATGCAAACGTTTGATGAATGTTTATCATAAGAAATACGTAGCATCTGTAGAAAATGAATTGCATAATAATAATTTTAAGTGTTTTTGGAGTTACGTTAACAGCAACCGCAATGTGATAGACTCCATACCTAAAACTATGAAATATGATGATCATCAATCGTCTAATCCTAAAGGTATTTGTGAATTATTGTCGCGGTATTTCAGTTCTGTCTTTGAAAAAGCTGATTCTAAAAACTTTACTCTGGATAACAATATATTTGAATCGAGCAATAGTCTATCAATAGTATCTTTATTAGAAAACGATATACTAAAAAAACTTAAAATGTTGGACATTAATAAGGGTAGTGGACCAGACGGTATACCGCCTTATATCATTAAGAATTGCGCTGTGGAACTCTCTTTCCCATTGTCCATTATTTTCAATCAGTCTCTGCGAACGGGAGTTTTTCCGGACTTATGGAAAACTGCATATATTGTCCCTGTTTTCAAAGCTGGCGATAGATCGAATTGTGAGAATTACAGACCCATTAGCATTCTGTCTTGTCTTGCAAAAGTACAGGAGTCTTTGGTATATGATATCCTATATTCTCACATACAGCCTCTCATATCTCCGAATCAACACGGTTTCGTCAAAAATAGGTCAACAATCAGCAATCTTTTGGAATATAAAAATTATTTGTGCCAAGCCTTTGCTAAAAATATACAAGTAGATTCAATTTATACAGATTTCTCAAAGGCCTTCGACAGGGTCGACCATTATATACTATCTTTAAAATTGCAGTCGGTGAGTATACACGGTTTGTTGTTGCGATGGATGGAGTCATATCTAGCTCGCAGGACTCAGCTGGTTGCACTAAAAGCTGAAGTTTCTGCACCTATTACAATAACTTCTGGCGTCCCACAGGACTCGCATCTTGGCCCTCTCTTATTTATTATATTCATCAATGACCTTATAAAAAGCTTAAATTGTCCGTCTTTTTTATATGCAGATGATTTGAAGGTATTCTCAGCAATTAAAAACACAACTGATGCCCAAATTCTGCAACTTGATCTAGAGACTATCGCCTTATGGTGCAGAAACAATAAAATGTCCTTGAATATAAACAAGTGTTTTGTACTGACATTTACTAAAAAAATCAATGTTACAAGCTTCACTTACAAGATTGACGGTCTTCCGCTAAATCGTGTCGAACAGGCAAAAGATTTAGGCATAATCTTTGACACAGAAATGTCCTTCAAAGCACATTAAGTCAAAGTCAAAGTCAAAATAATCTTTATTCAAATAGACTTCGTAAAAGTACTTTTGAATCGTCCAACATTTATTCCCTACCACTCGTTCAGGACGTCTTTTGGCTGATAAGAAGAACGAGCAAGAAACTCACCAGCTCTAATATGAGTAATGACATTTACAAAAACCATGTCATTACCAGATCAATACATTATAAACAGAGATAAAAAAAAACGATGGTCTTATAATAATAACATAATAATGGAAACAAGATATTGAGTTTAGAAGTAATCACCTATCCAGTTGCTGGATCATCTCAAGTCCAAGCGTTATAATAATATACCATTATAATAATATACCTATACAACAAAGCAACTCGCCTTTTGGGTTTCGTCTTGAGACTCACTAAAGAATTTAGAAATCCCCGCAGCATCATTTATCTATTCAATTCTTTAGTTAGAAGTAATCTTGAATATGGATCAGTCATCTGGTCACCCTTTTATGACATTCATTCTAAACTAGTGGAGGGTGTACAAAAGAAGTTCCTGCGTTGCATATCCTCAATATCCTCCATAAATTTCAACATTTCCTACAGACCGCGTAATCCAAAAACATTTTCATTACAAGTTTTCCGCAACAACATATCCTTTTATAATCCAATCATCCGTATGTGCCGCCTTTACAATGAGATAAGTCAAACTAATCATGACATAGATATATTCGACGGTAACAAATATTCATTCAAAAAGAAAGTAATGTCACTATTTCATTCAAGAATTATGTCATCATAATCAACATTAACATATCTGTATCACACTGTTTTTCTATTTTGCAAAGTTCAACTTGGACTAAAATTAATATCATTAGCTTTAATGCTGCTCCATTTTAATCATTCTAGAGATACATATTATTGGGTATAATTGGATTTTGCAAGATAAATAACAAGTTATGCTTTGTATTAATTATATCCTGTTTTGTATCTTAATAAATAAATAAGTTAGCTGATAACATTCAAATGAGCAAGGTGTAACCTCAACAAAAGAACTATTTACCCTCGTTAAGATACATAATACATATTCTCCTTTGTTTTACTAGATACTAATTCTTTGGAAGTTTTTTTTTTTTTTTTTTTTTATTCTTATCTGCAATCAGTCTCGAACTATAAGCAGATCCGTTCCCTGGCTTTCATTATGTACAGGAAGCTCCTCAGTAGGAGGTTCCTCGTCCTTCACCATCTATTGCCAAGATTTTGTATGTCATGGCGTCGTAGTCGTTTAATGTAGCTGATCGTCGCTAACTCGGTAGCTAGGTCGTTTGGATGATTTTCTAGTCGCGTTATATACTTATTTCCTGTCAGCTTCAATTCCTCTTTGACAGTTCTTATGTTCAGAGCTTTATGGATCTCAGAGTTAGTGATAAACCATGGTGCATTTGAAATAGTTCGCAGGATGCCATTTTGCATCCTTTGTATTATGTTTATATTGGAATCGCTAGCACTGCCCCATAGTTGTGCCCCATACATCCATATTGGTTTCAGGATCATCTTGTATATAAGCAACTTGTTGTCAGTAGCCAATTTAGAGTTACGTGCTATTAACCAGTAAATGTTTCTAAATCGCATACTCAGTTCATCTCGTTTAGTCTTGATGTGCTTCTTCCAGGTTAATTTCTTGTCCAAATGCATGCCCAGATATCGAACAGAGTCACTTTGTGGCAGGACACTATCACCCATTTTTACCGGGGGACAACTACCCCTCCTCAACGTAAACGTTACGTGCACCGACTTAGTTGAACTGGCTTTGATTTTCCATCTCTGTATCCATTCATCGACTTTATCAAGGCTATTTTGTAAGATGGCGGATGCTGTGACCGGATCTTTACTGCTTGCTATAATTGCAGTGTCGTCAGCGAATGTAGCTGTAGTTACCCCTTGCGTTTCTGGAAGATCAGCAGTGTAGATACTATATAAGACGGGGCCAAGGACAGATCCCTGTGGGACTCCCGCCATTATTTCTTGAATATTAGATAGTTCTCCATCTTCTCTCACTTGGAATATTCTGTTAGTAGGTGTCTGTAGATACTAATTCTTTGGAAGTAAACGATATTCTTTGCAATCTAAAAGCGAATAGTGCGCCTGTGTGGGATAATATTTCTGTTCAAATCCTTAAGCTTGCCAGGTTTCTTGTTATTCCCGTCGTCCAACCAATCAATCCTTAACCAATCTTCCCTTCAACTCTCAAAAAGTCTTTGATCACTCCTCTGTATAAGGGTAGGGATTGAACAGACTTCAATAATTATAGGCCAATCTCCATTCTATCAGTCATCTTCAAAATTATTGAAATACTCATTAACAATAGTTTTGTCAAATACCTTGAAAACTTAAATATTATATCGGTATCTCAATTCGGGTTCAGGCGTGGCAAGTCTCCCGTGGAGGCGGTTATAGCTTTAACGTCATTAGTTACTCAAATTTGGATTCAAAACACAAATGCATAAATATTTGGGGATCATTCTGGACCAACATCTAAATTGGCATTCTCAAATCGATAATGTAGGCTCCAGAATAAGAAAGCTCGTATAATATGGATCTTTGGAAAGTTAAGATGTGTGGCTAAAAAAAACTAATAAGTCTGTTATATATCTCTTTGGCACATTCTGAAATGAAATGAAATTTTTGTAAATCTAAAGAAGTCAACGCTATTTTCTCAAAGTTATGCATTTTAAACAGGTTTGTTTCTCACATCTGAATTATATAAATTTAGCGAAGTGTTATCGGTTAGAAAACTATATATTATTTTAACAGCATTAAAACTGCACAAAACGATACCACTTCACCCTGATATTAACGCCAGACGAAGAAACTTAATTCCACAAAAACAAAAAGCCAGGAGAACATTCACCCAGCGTCAACATATAATACAGTCTGCCCATGTTTACAATCGAGTAAACTACAACTGGGGTATACACACACGAAATACGTATATATATCAATGAGTACGTGTTCCAGCGGAGGGCAAGTACGTGGACGCGACGCAGGAGATGCTGGCGCTGGGCGTGTGCAACATCGCGTCGTCGCTGGTGGACTCCATGCCGGTGTCGGGCGCGCTGTCCCGCGGCGCCGTCAACCACGCGTCCGGCGTCGCCTCCACCGCCGGCGGCCTCTACACCGGCGCGCTCGTGCTGCTCTCGCTGCAGGTACTCTATACACTGTACACACTGTATACACTGTACACACTGTATACACTGTACACACTGTATACACTGTACACACTGTATACACTGTACACACTGTATACACTGTACACACTGTATACACTGTACACACTGTATACACTGTACACACTGTATACACTGTACACACTGTTTACACTGTACACACTGTACACACTGTATGTACTGTATACACTGTATACTGTACCTGCACTGTACATGTATTCTACTGTTTCAGTATTTCACGCCGTACTTCTACTACATCCCGAAGGCGTCCTTGGCGGCGGTCATCATCGCCGCTGTCGTCTTTATGATGGAGCTTCATGTTTTCAAACCCATTTGGAAGACTAAAAGTGAGTTTTTCTGATATATAAATATTTTGCAATACATCAGCAGCACTAATCGACCCAAATGACATAGATTTCAATTCAAATTTCGCTTTAAAAGATATGTTAAATACAACCTTCCGTATACTCCGGATGCGACTAAAGTCTGTTAAGAAGACTAATATTGCGTATTCGCCGAAGATCATTACGGACATTAAAGATCATCCAGCTATAGAAACACTGAATATAACGACGGTGACATGCGTGTGTGGTGTGCAGAGGTGGACCTGATCCCGGCGGTGGTGACGTTCGGCATGTGCCTGATGACGCGGCTGGAGCTGGGCATAGTGGCGGGCATCGGCGTCAACCTGCTGTTCCTGCTGTACGCCTCCGCGCGGCCCTCCGTCACCGTCACGCACGCCGTCGTGAGTACAGTACACGGCAGATAAACGCTAACCGCACTCATTGATCGAGTTCACAGTGCCAAGATTAAAAACGACACTTTTGCTCCCCATAAAACAATTCCTAAACCGAATAGCTTTCGTGTGTGGGTAATATATGGACGACCTGAGGCACGAATCATCTCTTTTCCGTGTTAAAGCCCTACAAAACACGGAAGACTTAAATTTTGTCGAATTTCGAATTCTACTACATTTTCGAATTCTATCACTTCTCTGACCTAGCTACATTTTCGAACGAGCGGACGTCTTAAAACTTTTAGTAATTTACCATATATCGAAACATTCTATAATAGATTTTCTTTTCACTTATTGAATGTGAGGAGATAAGATAATATTATTTTATGTGGCGACTGGAACATTGACATAATAAAATCCGACAGATACTCTAGGGAATTAACAAGTATTCTTCATAACTACAACATAAATATTCATATTAATAAGACTACTCGTAAAAATACCAGCTTAGATATTATTGTAAGTAATATAAATAGTACTGTAACTGCTAAAATACATTATCTGTTTTTAACAAACCCTTAACGGTAAAAGCGTTATATTTGTTGCCAATAATAATGCGCTAAGTACCAAAAACCGCCCAAGATTTGGTTTGACAAGAAACGTGATACGGACACACATAATATTTAAAAAAAATACAGTGTTTGTCGTCTTTCTCATTCCATGAAGTACTACAAGAAGAAGATACTGCAAGAGCGTTTGATCTTTTCCACTAACTATTTAATTTTTTTTTTGACACACGTTTTCCAAAACCAACAATAAAAAGGGTTAATAAACCTATTAAAAACGGTTGACTTACTAAAGACATAAAAAATTGCTATATTCAAAAGCGACGCCTTTACCTTCAATATCGACTAAAACCAACAAATAAACAAAATAAAAAGGACATCACAGAAATTAAACTTAATGACAATTCATATATTATTGACCCATTACCATTAAGTGACAATTTCAATGGTTATTTTATTAATGAAACTAATACAAATAATAAAATTATCGATACATCTTATGCAACACGCAATATACCAATCTGTTCAAATAGTATCTACCTAACACCTGTTAACTAAAATGATATTTGTAAGATAATAAAAAAAACGCTAAGCCACATTATGAATTTGTCTTTTATGCCGAGCCACTTTCCTTCAGTACTAAAACGCTTATTAATAAACCGTAACATAAAAACAATCTTTCAATGAACTAAGTAATTATAGACCTATAACACTTATGTCAATTTTTTAAACTAAATACTAAATACTTTGGCAATAGTCCTGGACATGAGCAAGGCATTTGATTTTGTTTCACCAAGTTACTCTTACATAAATTAGGCAATGACTTAGAATGGATGAAAAGTTATCTAAGCAATCGCACACAGTGTGTCGAAATCTTAGATGCTAGGTAATTTTATAAAACCTTAAACTTCTACATATACCCTAAATCATTATGGCGTACCCCAGGGTAGTGTACTTGGACCACTTTTATTTTTACTGTAAATCAATGATTTGCCTAGTTTTACTGACCAAAAGGGTATCAGAGGTAAGAATTGTGATGATATTGAACGAGTAGCTAACACTGAATTCAGAAAAGTCACACAATGACTGGAGAAAAATAACTTACAAATTAACATGAATAAAACGAAATACTTTCAATTTAAAACTACAAATACTTAAACTAGAACAATAGATTTAAGGCATAATGATAACAAATTATTAGGAGTAGATGAAACAAATTTCTTAGGGAGTACGATAGACAGATTCTGTAATTGGAAGGCACATATAGACATGAATGCTGCCAAAATGGATAGATGAATATATGCTCTTAATAGTATTAGACAAGTGGCCTCTAAACAATCCGCTTTAATAGCATATCATAGTTAAGACTCATCTGTGTTGCGGTATGGTATAGTTCTATGGGATAATTCGGTATATGCAATTCGTGCTTTTGAAATACAAATGAAATTCATACGGTCAGTCTGTGGTGCAGGCTACTTGGACTCATGTAAGCCTTTGTTTAAATCATTAAATGTGTTACCACTTCCATGTTTATATATTTTTGAAAAAGTTAGACTTATTATTTATTTAAATATTTAATGAACAAAAATAATTATTCAATTAGTGAATTCTTGCAAGATAAATCTCGTTTTTAATTATTGTATGAATCCTTTGATTATAATATGAATCTATTATATCTTATATGACTATGATTTGACATTCGCTGTTTTTTATGTAATTTCATTTTTCGAGATTTCGAGATATGCTGCTCTCACCATATTTTCGTAAATAAAGATTATTATTATCATAACGCTCCTGTCACGAGTACTAAAAAAATTGTCATTTCAAAAATGTGAATATTTTAAGGCATCACCGAAAGATACGATGGGTATTTACTACAGAAGACTCGCGTTGTGTTTATGTGTGTGTGTTTGTACTGTATGTATATGTACGATGTGCCCAGTCCGGGGACGGCGTGGAGCACGTGGTGGCGGCGGTGGACCGCGCGCTGTCCTTCCCCTCCGCGGAGTACGTGCGCCGCGCCCTGCGCAAGGCGGCCCCCGGCCCCCGGCCCCTCGTGCTCGACGCCACGCACGTGCAGGCCGCCGACTTCACCGCCGCCGAGGTAACGCCGCCCTACACCACGCCTACATACATATAGAGCCCCCCGGCCCCCGGCCCCCGGCCCCTCGTGCTCGACGCCACGCACGTGCAGGCCGCCGACTTCACCGCCGCCGAGGTAACGCCGCCCTACACCACGCCTACATACATATAGAGCCCCCCGGCCCCCGGCCCCCGGCCCCTCGTGCTCGACGCCACGCACGTGCAGGCCGCCGACTTCACCGCCGCCGAGGTAACGCCGCCCTACACCACGCCTACATACATATAGAGCCCCCCGGCCCCCGGCCCCCGGCCCCTCGTGCTCGACGCCACGCACGTGCAGGCCGCCGACTTCACCGCCGCCGAGGTAACGCCGCCCTACACCACGCCTACATACATATAGAGCCCCCCGGCCCCCGGCCCCCGGCCCCTCGTGCTCGACGCCACGCACGTGCAGGCCGCCGACTTCACCGCCGCCGAGGTAACGCCGCCCTACACCACGCCTACATACATATAGAGCCCCCCGGCCCCCGGCCCCCGGCCCCTCGTGCTCGACGCCACGCACGTGCAGGCCGCCGACTTCACCGCCGCCGAGGTAACGCCGCCCTACACCACGCCTACATACATATAGAGCCCCCCGGCCCCCGGCCCCCGGCCCCTCGTGCTCGACGCCACGCACGTGCAGGCCGCCGACTTCACCGCCGCCGAGGTAACGCCGCCCTACACCACGCCTACATACATATAGAGCCCCCCGGCCCCCGGCCCCCGGCCCCTCGTGCTCGACGCCACGCACGTGCAGGCCGCCGACTTCACCGCCGCCGAGGTAACGCCGCACTACACCACGCCTACATACAGACCTGAAGCCTTGACCTACCTTCTGAAACGAGATAATGCTCGAACACTTTTTTATCGGATAACCGTCTGACGACGCTTGAAAGCTGCATAACACTAACCTCCGCGCCCTCGAGCGCTTCGTATTCCAGGAGCTTCTATGTTGAAATGCTGAATTCTTTGATTTTAAAAACTGCTTTATTTGCTACAGGGCATAAAATCACTGATCGAAGACTTCCACGCGCGCGGGCAGACTATAATATTCTACAACGTGAAGCCGTCTATAGCGGGCATATTCCGCGGGGTGAAGCCGCGCGAGTTCCTGCACTGCTCGTGCCGCGCGGAGCTGGACCGCATGCTGCTGCAGGCGCACAACCAGATGCAGCAGCGGCAGAAGCAACGAGTGCTGGTCGGTACCGGATAGCGGCTTTGCAGCGTCCCACTTTCTCCCATTACAATAATACGGATAACGACTAATTTTTGTTTATTTTGAGATTGTTGAAGAATATTATATACGTATTTTTTATTTTTTGCGTAATCAACAAATTTATGCGATACGTTGAGTTGAAATGTCGTAGCGATCCCTCACTCCTCAACTTTAATGCCTATTATCTAATTCATTTATTGTTTAAATTGACTAAATAGAATTTCTTTTCTTTTACCCATTCGTTATCCCAATTATCTCAGCATAGATAATGTTTCCATGACTTTATACTACACTTCCTTCACCGATGTTATTCATACAAAAAGAACTGCTAAATTACATTTAATGGTTCAATATTAGGGGCCATATTTCACGTAGTTCCAAACTGATTAATTAGTTATAAAATGAAGACCAAAACAGGTTTTGCAAATTTACTCAACACTTGAGTTCCAGCCGTGAATTAAAATAAACAAAATGATTGTAGCAAAGCGAAGTTGCAATATTTATATATTTATTGGAATCAAGTAAACTACGATGTCACACGTAACCATCACAGCCGTCACAAACAAAACATAAACTTAGTGAATATAATAAGGCTTAAATGCACTATATTATTAGCTTGTAATATCATATAACATAGGAAAGATAAAAAAAAAAAACAGAAAAATTAGCTTTCTTTTAATGTGCTTCGAGTCTAAAATGCTTTTAAACGCTATGCACAAATTCACAAACCAGAGTAAAATGTGTACATATCTGACAAACATGACAGTGACAGTGGATGATTATTTTATCGGAATTTAAGTTTATCGAATTATCAATTTCGCATGCGATGAGTCTTCGTTACATTAACGTACAATAAATACATCAAAATGCTTAAGGGTTAGGCACAATGTGATGATACTATGATACTGTGTGTGCTCGCCGTGTGTTATGTGATCGCAAGACTGTACTAGCCGATACGCATAACAAATAAGAATCATAATTATTGCCTGAACTTAAAAATACTTAAAATTTTGAAATAGAATAATATTCTATGCCGAGAATCTTCCTTGGTATCATTGTGGTATTGCGCTGTAAGTACAGACATTTGTAGTTGCAGGCTGAGCCGTAATTTTGACGTCACCGTGTTGATTTGTAAGATGTCCACACTGTTACCTAGCAATGAGTATTAAAAAAAAATATTTCCCGAAATCAAACTAGATGTCACTACGGCACGTTCTTGATTTCTCCATGACAACCTTTCCGGTTTTCTTTCATGTTTAAAATTAAATTAGTTTTCAAAACTCAATAAGCAACCCATATTTTATTCGTTTCGAAGTTTTCAAACTTCAGTTTTTTTATATGTTAGTTAAAAGGAACGGAAATGTCTGTCTTTGATCCATTCGTTTCCTGCAAAAATCACTTTTGCTAGAGTCGCCATCTAGTGGAGGAGCTTTTTAGTGCTTTCATTTTTTTTAAATACTTCCTCTTATACTTAGTATAACAGTATCCATACATAATAACAATATTTTAGTACATAAAACTCCAATTTTCGTTTTATGATTATAAATGCATTTTCTAAAGGATCACATCACATCACCAGCCCTTTTACGTCCCCACTGCAGGGACTCAGGCCTTCCTTATGGATGGTTAAGGAGGATGGGCCATGACCCTCCACGCTGGCCCAATGCGGATTGGAGGGTATTAACGACTGCAAATGCAGACGGGACCAACGGCTTAACATGCCTTCCGAAGCACGGAGTAGCTCGAGATAATAATTTTTTGGTCACCCATCCCGTGACCGACCCTTGCGAAAGTTGCTTAACGACTACGATCGCGGGCCGCGGCGCTTATCCACTACGCCACCGAACATGTGTGTTCTAAAGGATGTGCGTTATTTCTGTTACACATAATATTTCAGTAAGAAATCGGGGACTTGTTACTAAATTAAAACACAATTGTCAATTGTAATGAACCAAAAGAGGCTCTGCTCGACCGACGTAATGTACATACTGATCTATATAAAAGGGCGAATGGAAATAACTTTTCAATAGGTTAATTAATCCACCTACATTTTTGTTGACAGAACACGACGTAGGCCGAGCGCCGGCGACGACGTCGACGACGAGCAGCGAGCGCAGATCTCCGCTAGTTCCCATGTGACATACGACAGTATTTATTAGTACATGTACATAGGTAACGGCGTACCGTACAGTTATTTATTAGCTTTGTTATAAGTTAGCCGTAGCTTAGTTGTGTAACAGACGTTTGACGGTTTCGCACTAAATATACCTTTATTATATGTTTGTTTTCGTTATCAGTATACGTCGACGCCGACTGGCGACCGTTCGATGATTGTAACGCCCGTGTTATTATAATTATGATCGGTATGGCTGTGATTTGTGTCTTCGACCTATCGGAATCGATTTAGTGTTTATTATGAATAAAACGACCGATTTGAGATATAATAAATGTATTTATTTCACAATCGTCGACACACTCCGATGCGGATCGCGCAGCCATCGCACTCTGCGGGACACTCGACTACACTTACTTTAGATACACAGGATAATATTTGAATTAACACTACCGAAGTCTATCCATTGAAAAGAAATGACAATTACTTGTTATTCGTTATACGTTGCTGGGCGTGCAAAAGCATCCGCTACAATATAATCACGTCTCACCGGTGACGTATAACGAATACATTGCCATTTCGTTTCTCGGACTGTTCCTATGAATACATAGAAGGTACGCGCGTTGCTCAGACAACGCGACGTTTACAATTTGAACTACAACGTTAGACTTTATTTAGTTACACATTATAATAAAGACGCATCATTAACATGAATTAAATTAATGACTCGGAGGAAAGAATCAAATGTTATGTATACGTCTTTATTACAACGACACTATGTATTACAATCGAATAAACATAAAAACGACAATAATACGCCACTAACTAAATTGATGCAATATCAGCACCATCATTAACAATAACATTTTGGAATTGAGCAGAGCAGTAATTCATTTAAAACAAAATACAATATCATCGATAATATCCCTTGAAGGTATCTAGTGAAAAGTGAGCAGAATGTTTAAGTATAAATTAGATATCATAGTGAAGATAATGTTAGATATTGTTATCAGACTTACGACGCACTTTCGCTCGTAAAAAAATGCGATTTTAGCACCTAAAACACCAAGACGTACCGATATTTCATATGTAACTTCGAGCTTGAAGAGTTTAGAGAAAGTTGTAAACGATTAATGCATTATAATATATCGGTTAGTATAAATGACCTTTTATTATTTACAAGCTCCGAGTTAAAGGCAAGAGTACAAAGTAAGACGGCGGCGAATCCGCCGAGATCAAGGGACGCGCGCACGAGACTGACGTACACGTCACAAAACTATTCTCAATTCGACTACTGCAGATCTTTCAACGAGTGATGACGTCACTCGCACAAACTACCGTTATTCCACTTACAATGACATAGAATTCATTAATGTTACACACAGTATCATCGCCTCGCCTGGTGGCCGTCAGAGTGAGCACTGAAGTCAGTAACGATTGCGGAGATCATTACAGAGGTCCGTCGGACACGATCTATAACAGTCGCCAGTTGTATAGACCGATACACACGCGTGTGCGATAGGTACATGTACATGTGCACCCTAATACCTAAAATAGGACAAATTTCTCTGATCAATTTTAAGTCTAATTATGCTTTCTTAAATAATGGCAACAATTTATTGACGATCATACTCTAAGAAATAACTGGTGGCAACTGTTACAAACGTGTCCGGCGCATAGTCCGCCGCCGGCCGCGCTAGAGGGCGCCTCCGTCGACGGCACACAAACACTACCTAACGATTACAATATGACACATTGTTATATATTTAAATAAAGTAGTAGGTTCGCATATACCCTCTGAGTCAAAAATATAAAATAATTGTATAATCACAAACCTAGCGTACGCGGACCGTTGCAGAGTATTACGTTGACGCGGACGCGGCCGCCGACACTAATGGCAGTCGTAGGAATTTGGCAAAAACACGGCAGTGGCACACGAGACGGCTCATCGTTCCGTTACATGAAACATTTCATAATTTAAATAATACAATATTTAAAATGAAAATTTCCTTATGATATAACGCGCTCGGCGAATCCGAATAATTCTTTGGTAACACTATTTCTAATGACAGAATCTCCGCTCGCAGTGGTTAACGTTGAGCGCTCGTCAGCGGCCCGTCCCGTCGTCGCCTTGACGTATGGTCACCGCGTGTCCACGCACTGTGTTGATGCGGGACAAGCGACGCGACCGAACCGCCCCGCTGCGGCCGTTCATGTATACTGTACATCCGCACCGGTCGTACCGACATCTATATATAGACGAATAGATAACTGTCGCACGGTAGCGGGGCGATCGCGTCGCTCTACTGTCGCCCCGCGCCCGCGCTCTACGGAAGAAAAGGACGGCGGGCGGGGAGCGAGAGGGAATGGCCTAGCTTAAAATCTAAACGTACTATTAAAAATAAGCTATTGTAAAAAGAAACTATCTCATATAAAGAAATCATACTTAAATTTGTGCGGCGATCGGATCCCGCTAAATAACGAACGTATATAGTATCAAATTCTGACAAAATCATTAAAGCCAACACGACCGACTTCGGTCAACACCTAAATAATCTTGAGCTGTGGCATGTACGTGACCGTTGGTGGCGGCCCCTGGGTCGGAGCCCTAGCGCTGACCACCGCGGACCCCCTCAACGACATCACACACACACCCTACCGATTTCGAGTTAAAGTTACAACTGTGATAATCAACTAAGGAGTCACTTCGAGAGCGCTCCTACTTACAACCTACAACATTTCATACAACTTTCTTACAAAATTGCAATCAGATGTACACTTTCGACAGTCGCACACCGATTGTCGAATTCTCTTCTAGGGTGAGAGACGAAAGTGCAACGCCGATTGCGCACGCGCATCGAGTATCAATTCACCGTTCCGTATGGCCTCTCGATTTACTATGGAAAAATAATGTATCAGATCGACTTAATATTGTTATAATACATGATCATGTCACGAGCCGTCGCACGACGACGACCGACAATCTTAATACTTCAGTAGATCTTCATCCAACTCTGCGAGCGCCAATTTACTGTCTATCGCTGAAAGCAAAACAATTTTTTCGGTGAACACTAGCAGGCACAAGCATACACATTAATAATTACGGTTGACTATTTTTTATTTCCTAAAAAAAAATATTTGAAAAGAAGAAGACATAAGAAGGAATCCCGTTATAAGCACAGTGAGCCTAATTTATGCAATTGCAATGATATAAAGCGTGACGACAGCAGCATGAAGTGCATATATCTCAGTAGGTGTGTGTATTCAACATTCGCTACCTAGGTTCTTCTTAAAACGCTCTATAACTTAAAAGCTTACATTGTACCAGTAAAGCTACTAATGCCGTGTCGTATGTATACGTGGACGAAGACGCATCAGCGAAGTCATTTCTTTAAGCACATGCTCTCAATATCTAGCCAACAGATCGAGTCTACCTTATTTTTGTTACAAAACTAAATCAAATCATTCAATATAAGCATAACGTATTCCGTCAATTTATACGTAAACTATCATTATGTCCGAATATTATCCGACAAGTCTCGGAGAAGGGGGCGATTACCGATATAGTTTTAGTTTATTTAATACACGTGTTAACTCACTTCGGTCCGGGATAGTAGTATGGAGGCGGTCGCTCGTACTCAGTAGGCCCGTGGTAGCGCGGGGGCCCCTCCTCCCAGTGCCTGCAATACCAAATCCGTCACCACCACTCCACTACACTCGCCCCTATCTCATTTCACTGCAGTCTTAATTAGTGACTCTCCGTCTCTCTTAGTGCCCGTGTTTGTTAGGGTGTAACTCTTCCTAAATTGCGCGATTTAAACTAGACTTATAGAGAGCGTTATGTGAAAAGCGGTGTCTTAAAAGTAGCGATGAAGATTTATTGCTATTCGATATTGATAATTGTTCCAGTGTCAGATTCCTTAAGATCCAGAGAAATATTGTGGATTTATCATGCAAAATAGGAATGTTGAATTAAATTAATGTGTCAGAAAAAAGATAAACTGCCTGATTGAACAGATATTCTTGATACTTTTATATAATTTTATTATAAGGTAGGTACCGGTTTGCAAGATGAAATATGATGAACAATGAACCTTAGTGCGAACAAGAAATTCGATACGTCAGTTAATTATACAATCCGGTCATCGAACAATGTTCTGAAGATATATAAAAATTATTTAGGTACTCACTTTGGCGCCATATCATTATATCTGCGCGCGTGGTGTGCGTCGAGAGGCGGCGCCACCGCGGGCCCCGCCCCCGCGCCTGTCCCGCCCCCGGCCCCGCCCCCGCCGCCGCGCAGCCCCTCCCCCACCTCCCCGCCCCCGCCCCGCCTCCCGCGCCCCGCACGCTTCTCTGCCTTGTAGGCGCTGCAACGTCACAATTGATCGTCTCTTCCCTGAACGCGACTCGGCACTTACTATTAGCCGTCAACGCGATATAGCAACAGAAAAAAAGAGTGGTACACTGTCCCGTCGCGCAACACACGGCCGAATGTGGCGCCACCAATGTCCTTAGTAATTTTCATTAGTTAATCTGCATTTGTATCGCCGTTGAAAGCTCATAGTGAATGCCCAGATATATTTGTCTGTGATCTATCTACAGTCAATTAGTACTTTAATTTCTTAAATGTCTCTCCTCCTTTATATTTATTAGACAAAGACAACGTTTGATGATTAGTTTCGCAATTGAAAATTGAATATAAAATATACATTTAACAGTACTAAAATGACTATAGAGACATCACTTAACGAAATAAGGTCCGAGTATTGACAATTGTTGGATTTTTTAAGAATTTTTATCAACAATAACCATAATTTACAACTATAAATAATAACATAATGAACCCAGGACCGAATTTCGATTATAACAATATTTCATAAGTGTTTCCCACACAAGTCAAACCAGTGAAAGCACACAGACTTAGTTAAAAAATCACAAAAAGCCATAAACACCCCACGTACACCGACACACACATGCGTTCACTACTACGTTCCAGTACATGCAATTTATTTTTTTGCTACAATTACACTGAAAATTGAATAAATAAATTTACGTTTTTTTTAACAATAGAGTTACTGACAGTTAAGAATATAAAATATGAAACTTGTATGAATTAGTAATTTTAATAACTAGGTTCAAAATGCATAATATATTATAAAATAAAGCGTGTGACGTAATATCAATGTAGCAGCTGTCAGTGTCATTGTCAAAATTCAAGAGTAACATAGTATTCATAATTATAAATAAATTGGGCCTAAAACTTATAAATTGGAATATATTTTTTTTTATAAAGCAAATATAGATTCTGCCAAGCATTCAGATGAGT